ATAATCTAAGAGCAGATTTTATCTACAATAACTATCATAAAATATACAGCACTAGGAAAGAAGTGATATTGACCATGTAGCAAAAACTAAAGTACTGGATCATAGTATTAGTTAACCATGACATTTATACTGCACACGACGACGGGATATATTGGCAGTAATATGGTACATAAATTTTACATTAATAGAGGTGGAGAACATAAAGGATCCCCTTTCCAACAAATATAAATATATCCTGAATAATTTAACGGTTTTAGATTAGAATATTACTTTATACGAGTATTGCAGACACCTTTATTTAGGTCGATATCTTATGTAAAATTATCTTTGCAATACGGTTAATTTAATTAGCATAGCAATTGATATTTTAAATATTTCTATCAAGAATAATTTGCTTTTGATCATACGTGGTAGTTATGTAGTATAATATATTTCAGGTTATTGAAGAGTTACCGATATTGCCACCCGTCTAGGAATATCTATCAAAATTACATTGAGTGTAGCATTTGATAAATATCTGAATTTCAGATTAAAGATCGCGTACGGGTAAATACCTATGAACTAGAATAGTAAAAACTGTCTATATCATTTTCCTGAATATTTCGAGACGCAAGTAAATACTTAACATCGATTTAAATGTTTAAATCTATGATACTTGATGCAGGACATAAGTATAACATTTAGAATTTATTTAAAATCATAGAGTAATGCATCTTTTGCAATTTATCAAAATTAAGTATTGAAAATAGACATTAATTTTTTTCTCTGCTTTAACATGAAGCTTATCTAATTAATTTTAACTAAAGTTATATAAACACCGGGATATTTTAACAGCATTCTTAGATCTTATTAATCATACAGGGCTAAAGCTGGAATTTCTTTGCTATTATAATACTATTTCCGTCGAAGACATGCTAAATAAGACTATAGATTTAAAAACATAATGTTTTCTCAAAATTTTATCATAGGGGTAAAAGTGTATTTAGATTCGTGATTAGTTTAAATCTTAAAGAGATGAATGGTGAATTGGTATTAAATTTCTAGTTAAAGGATGAATATGTAAGCCAACTTTAATCTTTTATACCCAAACAACTACATCAGCCTGTTTAGTTCAACCCATTCGGATTTTAATAACGTACCTGCTATAAACCATGACACAAAAGTATAGATAAGATAAATTTAATCTCAGGTTATTAAGCGTAGTATATTTGAAAAAGACGGAAGGAAATTCTTACATGCATAATGAAATTTATCGGTATTTGCAGTAAAGTAAATAAACGTAGGGACTGATTAAAAGCATGCAGTTGGTACCAACTACTGCATCATCACACAATAGCAGACCTGCAAAGAAAAGCAATAAAACGGCTTAAAATATTATTAACAACGCAAATAGTACAAAAAGTTTCCCAATAACACTTTAAATGATATTTACAAGAGAGCATACCTAGAAGAATTATTACATCTTATAGCCATAGCTTACTAGATGAATATTCTATGCCAGACTGGTGAAATTTGTTACGAAACTACAGGATCCTGGAAATGGTTAAGCATGAATTTCTACAGTAATAGAAACCCTAAATTATGTAATTAGGCAAATATTGGTCATTACTGAATTTCACACAACACCATCATTATATTACTTTCTAATCATGATCTATGTCGAACAAGATATGTATGGACATGATGAAGTAATTTAAAAATAAATAATTTGTTGAGGAACACTAACTTAGACCAGTCATGGTGTAAATTAAGTTATCAACTGGAAGGTTATAATTCAATTTACTAAATAGTTCTTTCAATTAACTATCAAGTTAAATATTTAAATTCTCTTATAATCAACATAGTTGATTATTTCATTCAGTAACAATAATATCGATGACAAATCAATATCAATTTCTAGGTAAACAACATTGCTATTGTGTAACCATGACTTTAATTTCTCTTACTACTTCATAATTGCATAACAGTAATAACGCAAAACATCATATACATTTTAAATTCTTCTATTCTAATTTCTTCCTTAGCATAAAGATACTAAACAATAAGATTTTCGTCAGTATAATTCAACGTGCGTCATTGCTTTCTTAATGTAAACAAAAATAAAAACCAGTTTATGGAAGTCTATAGCTGAATTTTGTTTTAATTATTTTTATGCTTAGCCCCGGTATTGCATTTCGCCGAAAGTATTAGATATAAGGACAATTGGAAGCTGAAGGACTTGATTGTAATATGACGCATTTCTGTATTCCAATAACAGCTAAATTCTTAGATATCTTACTCTTTTTATACCCTTGATCTAAGTTCCTAAAGACAGCTTATTGCTCGAATATCATGAATTTACCTTCCTACGTACTGATTTTTTTCAAATAAAAGTCATCATCAATGCATTACATACAATTCATCACAATTATCATTTTTTAGAGCACTTTATACTGTAAATAACGTGAAATATGGATGTTTGAATCGATGTCTGAAAGCACTATTCATTCTTTAATGCCCTTTCAAGATTATTCCATCTAGATTTGAGTTTAAATATTAGATTTAATATTCTTATGTAATGAAGGTTATTTTTAGAATTTTCCTTCAAGTTCTTGTATTGTAATTATTTTAGCTTAGTTTTGTATCGTGATAAGTATTTTATCTTTAAAAAGAAGACTTATTTGGTTGATTATAATACTAGATTTTACTTAGCATCTTACTATATTGTAAACGTGACTATTTTATTCGGGTTAGAAGTTAAGCTAATCCGTAGCATAATTTTGTTAAGAATCAGATATTATGATTTCATAATTCAAGCGATATATTTAGTTAATAGAATATATATGTGCTAATTTTGATCATTAATTACAGTAGAAGTTGATGTTACTTTGTAATTTCATTCAGTATGAACCCCATAAATTTGATCTAGGATTGTTATTTTGTCTTAGAGTATACTGTAGAAATGTATAGTTTCAAGCTAAACTATGCTTAGTGTTAATTTAGTAGTTTTCGGGAGTTTAGGGTATAATTTATCTTATCATGTATTTTTCATTGCTAGTTCAATTTGGAGTACCTTAGAATGATAGTTAGATAGTCTAATACCACCAACTGCTCTGCGTAGCATATAAAAGGTGACGTAGTTCGGTAATTTAGTGTAGTTGAAGTTAGAGAAGACAAAAAGTCTAGGATAACCGTGAGTTATCTCATTAATTGATAGTTTGCTTGGTTACTACTCTTAGGTTACCAATACTATTAATCAAACGTGATATTCGATATTAGCAAGTATCTTTATTAACCAGTCCTTCGCGAAAGATATAGAAGAATGGCATAATTCAATTTTAAGCCGTCTACAATAGCTATTACTCTATTGTTGCGTCTCTAAACACATTCAGCTTATCATTTTCATGTTAAAATGTTTCTTAAATATAACTTATTAATATCTCTACCTATTCACTTTTTCCTAAGACGAATACAAGTATAAGGCTATAGCTTCTGTACGTATAAGTAAAATGATTTCCGAACCTAAGGATAGCAATAAGTAAACTTTGCTTCATTCAATAACACATCAGTTTGAAAGTAGTTTTGTTACCTTAATCAGTAGTAAATTATTTCCGTAACTGAGCATCTCTTTCTACTAATAACCGAACCTAGAAAATAAAAAGTTTACATTGGCGTAAATTACAATAGAATACTATTATCCTCTACTACGTTAACCAGACATCATTACACGGTTTTACTTAGTGATTTGGAGAACAAGAAATATAGAATTATTAACATTGGATTAGTTCATAAATATGAGCTGATAGGGCAGAACAATTTATGTTATTTTATGATATATCTGGATGAGCGGACTTAGCATTAATTTAAGTTAAAACTGTCCCTGAAAAAGAATCGAAATAGGCTTAAGGCAGATATTATGTTAAACTTATTATTAGTCCAGCATCGTAGCAGAATCGTCAGTATATTTTTTAATGCAAGTGATGAGAGGGATACATTATATTTGATTAGCGTCAGATCTGCTTATTAAATATTAAAACCAATTTAGGTGTACAGATGGATGTGAGAAACATCAATGGCTTGCATTATTCAAACTTGTTATTCAAATCTATAACTTGAATTACCAAAAAAATGGGATGAACATTATTACTTCTCCTTATTCTGCTAGCTGATTGAGTTGTCACATCAAAATATTAACTTTAATCTCTTAAAATCGATCTCATCGATAGAAACTAACAATTTTAAAATCTATAGCTGGTATTATTAAGAACTGATTAAACTTCTAAGCCACGGAAATGGCAATTTTCGGTATCCGTCTTCATACATAGGTTATATGTAATATATATGTTATATTACATTTTTATAACTTATATCAGACAATTTAATTGAAAGATTCCTTTAAAAAAGGTTGCATTTCTCGTCTTTCGAGCTAAAGTGATGGACTAATTATATGTTAAGATTATTGATACATCAAAGATATTGAATTACGTGGAATTTAATTTATTTTATGATTGGAAATGTAAGAATTCTAACTTATTTAAATTCAGATAAAGTAGTCTAAATAAATAATTAATAAAAGAGATTGACAGATTATTGCGCCTTTTGTTAGTACGGTAATCGTTTCAAAAGCTATTCTCATTTGTAATAAATTCTGTAAATGAAAGGAAATAATATACGTTATAATCTATTATATAAATTATAATTGCTACTTTTTATGGCATTCATTTATTTTTCTTTCAAATTTGGATACGATAGAAACCGGTAGAAAGTTGTTTTACATTGCACATTTTCTAAGGAATAGCTTAAGATTTGCTAATGAATCGATTTGTTTAATATGCAGGTATCGTTATTTGTTACAGTCTTGGTTGGTTCGACTATTGATAAACGTTTGGTACTTCCAGCGTGCAAACGATCGTCATTGTTAGCCATAAAAAATTGCAATTACGAATTAGTATAATATTGGTAGACGCTATCATTTAAATATTTATCTTGCCTATCCTTTCTTACCTTAGACTAAAGAAAGTATGAACTCATCCAATACTGTTAATAACTCATTTATCCCCTTTAGCGATTTTGAAGCTAATGCCCGTTTTATTGCTTACGCAGTTCTTCTTGCATTTACCGTCATTGGCAATATCATCGTCATAGAGTCATTTATTGTGGTTCGAACTCTTCGTACACCGTTTAACATTTTTCTTCTCAATTTAGCCACTGTTGATTTATTCACCGGTATATTTAGAATGGGTTTTTACCTCTTCAATATCGCTTATGCTAAAGGATTTGAGTGGCCGTTCAGTCCAGCGTTATGTAATTTCAGCGGTTGGGCATTAAGTATTGCTTTCTCAGCTAATGTTCATACCCTAGAATTAATGGCTATTTTTCGCTATATTGCGGTGGTTCATAATAACACCTACAATCTCACGCAAAAGAGAGCTGTTATATCGATCGTTTGCATATGGATTTATTCCAATATTATCGCTCTCCTTCCAATCATCGGTTGGAATCGGTATCGATATCAAGCAAACGAAATTGCTTGTTTACCTGATTGGTATTACGAAAGTAGCTACCCACTTTTTGTTACTATTTGCGATGTGATCATTCCATTAACCATTCTATTCTACTGTTATGTGGCTATTTATATCACGATGAAGAAAACGAGTCGACGTTTCCGTGATATTTCCAATCAGGGCATGGATATTGCACTCCAGCAAATATCTAAACGAGAAGCTCGTGTTACGCGTGCCATGTTTTTGGTTTTCGTCGCTTTTCTTATTTGTATTGTGCCATATGCTGTCTGTGTATTCATCTTGTTCTCTATATTTCACATTTGGGTTGGTCGAGACATGGCATTTTTAACTGGTTATTTTGTTAATCTAAACAGTGCTATCAATCCTATATTGTATGGTTTCCTTTACTGCCGCTTTAGAAAAGCTTATTACTATACTGCTTGTTTGTGGTGGAGAAAATTATCCAGTATATTCACGATTCTATCCAGTCTACACCATCGGCATAATAAAGTACGACTTGTGAAAGACTGTGATGGTGATTTCAATCGATCAAGAGGAACAGAAATTATTAGCATGAATCACCATGATCAAGCGGTCATTCAAGAAGTTGACTAAACACTCAGTTATTTTCATCATCATAATCATGCTTTTACCAACAAGATGGATTCCTATTTTTTATAACAGGCAGTAGAATGAAATCATTGATTGCCTTCGCCATCGCCTGTCCTATCCATTTTACTTTGGATAATTACAATATTATCTAATGAAAAATATGCACAGCGCTATTGCAAGATTTACGCTTATCCATTCCTGACAAAATACGGTTACTGTATAGTGTATTATTATAGGAGTCTATGCTATGTCTAAGGTAGTATGCTAGCTAATATGGTTAGCTTCGTTAAAAGTATCTCGCATTCAATCCTGTAAAATCATCGTTATCATGCCACACTACTTATGTATTTCAATATGAGTATAACTCCAACGCCTTTCTTCTCAAAGTGAAAACGATGGTAAGCAATGGTAGGATTTCTATTTTATCAGATTGCCGATTTAAATACTTCTTGCTTTCACCATCGCTTATTCAATCTATCTTACCAAGGTAATTATAACACTGTCTAATGAAAAATGTAAACTGCATTGTAGCAAGATATGCCATTCCTGATAAAGTATATCGCATTATAGGAGTCTATGCTATGTTAAAGGTAATACTCGCATGTTAGCCAGTATGGTTAACTTATCCTCACTATGCTGCCATATTTCTTACCGCCCTGTATGCTTTTAATATTAATATGATTCAAACATCTTTTCTCTCCAAATACAAATGATTAAGCGTGTATAGAAATAAATAAACTTATTCTGTTATGTTGACAAATACTTCTGAGGACCTTGATATCTATGTAAAAGGATACAAATCGATACAAAGGGATGCGTAATCCTTTATAATCTAATAACAAGCTATCCCTCTCTCTTTCGATTGTTATCCACCTTGACTATTACAGATGTTAGCCTAATTACAGGGCGCTAACAGAACTCATGAACTCAGTGTTTTACTGACTATTTGCACGATCTTTCATTGAGAAGTCCACTACATGGACAAATCGAAATTTGGAGCAATCCTTAATAAATTCTATCTTTGTCGCTTAAAGTAGTTTTCTTACTTCACTTCATCTTACTTTACTGATGTAAAGCTGATCTGTAATTAATATTGTACATTATAGTCTAGTAAATAAAAAGTAAATAAAAAAATGCTTTTCATAAACGTTCGTCCATCTGTTCAGATTATTCTAGCCTATTCTATCATCTATACTGCCGTCGATCAACATGATCAGCTAGTATGCCCTATAATCAATTTGTCAGCAATAGCCGTCCATTTAACAAGTATAATAAATTCAAAATATTCTCATATAATTACGTACTGTCTATCGATATCTTTGATTTATAAAAGTTTTTAGTAGCGGCAATAACTAGACTAAACCAGTTACGGTTGCTATAAATGAATAGAATCGTATTTTTGGCTAACGTATTTAATTTTCTTTTGTAATAGAATAATCAAGAAATGTTATCTCCATAATAATTAGATATAAGAAAATCAATTTTTCTTACTATAATAAAATCCATTTACCCAAAAGTCATGCTAATCATTCAATGGCATGAGTGAATCAAGGTTCAACTGATTTATAACTGAATTACGAATAATTTTCGTTACACTATTCGCCCAATATTATGAACAAACAATTTCAATCACGATGATATTTGATACAGTTTACTCTAGTTACATTAACTCAAATTTGATATACAATTCATCCTACATTAAAGATTGCTGTACTGCTAATATCTGATCAAAGGCAAACCAATTATTCAACAAATCAAGGCTAAATACAATCGTGACTCAAAAAAATATCATATCGCTACAATCAGCTGTCCAGCCAAGCTCTGCTTCAACAATACAATTGTACTACTGTGACAGGGTATTTTAATTAGACATCATTTCAAGTTTGCTAAATTTAGGTCCATGATGCCATATAGGAAAATGGAGAATTCTCGTTGTTACTTACGTGGTAGCAATGAACTAAAAAAGAGTACCTCACCAATACATATCGATATAGTCTATCGCGGAGTATTCTAGATCTTATTAATACTTATTCAAATCTACGCGTATACTGAATCAATGTAGCTGAAAATTTAACGATTGAAACTTGAATAATAACTCTGGTAATTCTATGGTAAGAATATTAATTTCAATCGGCTAGTCTTATGCCAGGAAGCCTATGTATTATATAGTTGTTCCCAATTTTTTATTAACAATTTATGAATACACTTATATTAATTATGGATTGAAAAGTTCACGATACCGGGAACGATTGACGAATTACTTATCGAATAGGACGTGAAACTGTTATACAAATTGTGTAGTTGATCTGCTACCGCATCAAATCAGATAATTATAGCAAATAACAATCAATCTATTTTTGATACCAAATTATAAAAACTTGATTCTAAAGCACAAAATTGAAACTAAAAGTTAGGATTATTCAATAATAATTGATTTATCTCAATAGTCGATATTGTAACGACGGAAACAGAAATATACTTGAAAGCGGATAGTAAAATAGTATAGCACAACGTATTATTAGTCAAATTTTGTACAGTTTCGTCCTGATTTTCGTATTTGCACAATTTGTTATTTCTATTACGGAAGCGTTCTCAGTTTAATCTCAGTTAGGAAATGGTTAAAATCTCTTTTAAGATGCTTAGAGCCTTTGAATGATTTAAAATGTAATTTATAGATTTTATTATTATACAAATATAAATTCAAAATAGGATTTCCTTTCCCTTTCAGCTCTTAGATATCTGTCTTTTATAAATCGGAAATAAAGTGACAAAGAAAAATTGATAATCTAATTATAAATAATTTACTACAATTCATATCGAAGTTTTTATAATTGCTACTACTGTGAACGCTATCATTAAATAAACATAAACTACTCGTATATTAGTTCCGCTCTACTAAGTAAAAGTCAAGCTAATTTCAAATATTGCTTCAAAGTTGGGCAATTTTGATTCATAATTAATATGTGGATACCCCGTTAAGAGAAAATTACGGTGAATGAATAAATTATTGAATCGAAAAATTTTTTCGATCCTGTAACTTCGAACAACGATATTCAAGATAATTTAACTCAAATTTAATATAAAATTATCGAATATTTCACTTAATTTGAAGGCTATACTTAGAAAAAAATGATTACGAAATCATAATGAATTCGTCAATATTATATTTCTGACGTTTTAATAGTGAATGGGGGGGGGGGTAGCTTTGAATCAGCTAGAATGCAACAAAAACCGTCAATAATAACTTCAGCAACGGTATTTAAGATAATTTAACTCAGATTCGGTAGAAAAAATATAAGATAAATCCTTTTATTTGAAAGCTATAATTAGACAAGATAACTGCGTTACCGTCTAAGTATATTATCATACTTTTGACGTTTTAATAGTAAATGAAGCTAGGTTGAAATCAGCCAGAATATAATGAAGTCGATCATTATTATTTTCAGTAAGCATAAATGGAACTGTAGGCATTCATTTCGCTTAAGCCATAGTGCCTGGACAGTATCATCTTTTATATTATACTACCGTGGGATGATATGCGAATACACTATCGAGAAAAAAAACACAGTAAATAAGTAAACTATTCAATCAAAAAAATTTGGTCAATTTCTATGACTTCAAACAACGATATTCAAGATGATTTATTTAGCTCAAATTCGATGTAAAATACGGAATAAATCTCTTTATTTGAAGGCTATAATTAGAGATGATGGCTGCGTTATCATCTAAGTATAATATGATATTTTTGACGCTTTAATTGTAAATGAAACTAGATTGAAATTAGCTAGAATGTAATAAAGTCAATCAATATATGTACAGCAAGCATGAGAAGAGCTGCAGGTATTCATTTTGCTTTAGCCATAGTACTAGGACAGAATCATCTTTTATATCATTTGTGACTTCATCACAAAACGGCGAGATCTTGCGGAGGCAATCTAGCAAGCTATTTGGTCCTAAATTGAATCGATATCTTATGATAATTTTAGACTACACTAGAGTTGAAACTACTAGCACTCTTTTCATTTTAGCCATAGTACCGGGGTAGGATCATCAGTTATATTATTTTTTATGTTCTCATTATAAAAATACAGCATATTCTATCATAATTTAGCAAGTTATACAATACTGTACTACATTGAGTCGATATCTGACGATAATTTTAAAACACATTAATCGTCACTAAAAGCTTATCTTGGCTAAGACAGTATCATCAGAATACAACATATTTAACATTGATATATTATTAATACAAAATTTTTATTTACAATTGATAATATAGCATTCAAATTAACTTTAGTGACTCTTATGGAATATTAAATACAGTTTTAAGCAGTTACTATAACGTTATGAATTCTTTCAATAGGTTACCAATGTAGTAATACTGAAAATTTTTGTAGTAAAGGACTAAAAGTAGAGTCCTTTATAGCTTTTAGTATGTAACTAGTATTATTTTACTATAGAAAATACCTAGAAAGTGATAGCGTCTTTTAAGTTTTACCCCGCCACATCATCATGTCGCCATCTTTTCTTCTTCTTCATTTTACAAGGTATTATATAGATTACTATAGAAGTATCCCTAGAGCAGTTGCCTAATCTAAAGAAAGGGCGTTTGATCGTCTATTCAAATTGTAAATGAATTTGACTTAGTAACAAAAAACCCTATCCTTAGAGACAGGGGATTTATAATATGACAATAAAGTACTGTAATGTAGTCTATAATCGTAGAGCTACCGTACAACCTGACGCTAAAACATCAACTGTCAATACTCAGCGATACTAATGTCAGAAAAATAGTCGTAATAGTCATATAAAATTTTTTGATAAGTGATTACTGTGATCTTTATAAAATCCGGATTTTTGGGATTGGGATTCCGGAGCCGGTCGGATTTATGTCCGATATAATTTTTCTGTATTAATTTATCTATTTTAATTTTTCTGTTTTAATTTTTGGATTTTAGTTTATGGAAAATATCGTAAGAGTTGATTTTTAAAATTTGAACTTTTCGTTATGAATTTGAAACTTTAGAATTTTATGACGTGACATGAAAGACATTAGGAAAGTTTAGTTAGGAAAATAGAAAATAAGATGGAAATTGGCAGAGGTTGTATTGATTGTTAAGTAGTTAGGCTGTTATTTTTATGACTAAATCTTGATGTTTAAAGGTTAATTTTTAGACTTTTATAGTGTATTAATGATAGAAATTATGTTAGAAGTGAAGTTTGATGTATTTTATAGTTAACTTGTTGATTTTATAGTGTTTTGTAACGGAATCATAGGGTAAATTGTGTCTGAACTTTGAATGATTTTTGTTTTCTTAAATGGTGCAAAGTAGTTTTCTAAAATGGATCTTAAGAGCGATTGGTTAGTAAATCTTTAGTTCTAAATACATCTGACGGCTCTACGAAGCCTATAAATGATAGTGCAATAAATTGTTGTTCGATTATTTCCCCAAATTTTAATTGGTGTCAAAGTTTCGTTTAGTCGACCGGAGTGCAACGAAAGTAGAATCAAAGTTTGTTAAAGTTTTGTAGCTTGATCTATACACTTTTCATTTCATTACATTTTGAAGATATTTTTCATGGTTAAGTTATTATATATTGTGACTATGTACGATAATTTCTGTTCTATTGAAGGTTGTATAGCTCCAACCACAATCGTAGCTTCCCCAAAAACTAACATAATTTACTTGATGTCAAAAATTAATTTGATGAGCTATTAATTATCCATCAGGCTACCAGAGAAAAATACTTCAGAAAAGACCATTATTCATGTATCCGTTAAGAAGTATCAATGGTATTGAATGTTTCATTTCGAAATGAATATACGCATAGAGTAATTAATAAGGGTTAGAATTCACTACTTTCTATAGAAAAACTCCGCCTAGCCTTCCATATGTTTATAATGTGATATTGAATACTTTGTTCAATATAGGAAAACAACAATCTGTGCTGAATTCAAAATTGAATGCTTCTAAATCATGTACTTCTCTTAATAAAGATAAGTGTGCTTCAAAGAAACTGTTTGCTTTACTAACTATTAAAATAACTCAAATTGGAAGTATTATACATTATTATCTATCCATATATCATATACTAGATGGTATTTTCAGAATTTTATTACATGTAAAGCTTCATGCAGCTACTATATGAATATCAAAGAGAAATGTAGTCTTCAATTAATCAATCAGTCTTTACTCCACAAGGCTATCCGAAAGTTCTTGTAATGGTTATACTGGATTATCATAAAGATCTTTATTTCGATTTTAATTTGTAAGAATGTTAAAAAGAAAGCTGTACAATCTATAATTAGGCAATGAAACTTCACTTCATAAATATATGCGAAAGTTCATGTAATGATTATACTGGCTAATCGTAAAGATCTTTATTTTTAGTTTGTAAGAATATTAAAAAGAAATCTGTAAAATCCTTGGTTAGCCAATATAACTTTACTGTGTAAGGATATCCGAAATTATGTGCAATGATAATCTTTAATAGTAAAGATCTACATATCTTTTGTTTCAAGCATATTTCAAAGCTAGAAGTCTTTATACTTGTATTTCAATAGCATTACCAACTTGTGTCGTAAGTTATTCATTACTGTAAATTTCGGCTACGAAAGATTTATTCAGCTCAATAGTTGAAATACTGCAATGAGCAAATCTGCAACAGTTAGAATCAATCTTATTATAGTCGTCAATAGTATTATAGTACATTAATATAATTACCGATTTCGTTAGTTATTCTTAAATATCAGAATTATTGGCCTCTCTATTAAAATTTTTTATCTCCGAACTAGCATGAAAAACTGCTATTCATTCTTCTTGTTCTTCAATAAGATTATTATTATTTAAGGTGTAAGACAGATTACCCTCTATTGCTGGCTCATTTATTAAATAATGCCATTAAAAATGATTCCATAATAAGGCGTTGATGAATTTGGTTTTCAACAGTTCTTTTAGAGCATTGTATAATTATACATGGGCGTAATTGTTTCTGATTAATAATTTACTTTATATCTAGGAATTGATGTTAATAATACAACTGAACAGTGATTGAAATTCTCCTTTAAATTTAATTTCTTATTGAGTTTATTGAACAATGAGGCTATTGATAATATGCAAGTTTAAGTAACAGGGAATTACTTACATTTTCCTGGATTGAATTAAATCTCGTCAAATATGATCTTAAATAGTTTATGTCAAAGTATCGATTTTATGGTATTCATGGTTATTTTTGATTAGTGAATAACAAAAAGGTTTCATTATAATTAAAGCAGATAATAAGAATAATATTCATGAAATCACAAGAGAAAATAGAATTTCAGATCTTATTGAGCAAATTATCACCACATTAATAAACGCATATGCATTCATGTAATAGTGCATTTTGTTGCGAATGTATCAAAACTCAATGATTGATATATCAATATAAACCATAGAGAATGCTATCATTTCAGTTCTGATAAAATATTCGAGATGAAAGACTTCTGGCAGCTTGCGATATCATTTCTAAGTAAGGAGTTTAGATTACAACCTTTCAGAATAGCTTTAATTTTCGACATTGATAAATCATTGATGTTTTCGTTATGACAGAGGAAATAATTTAGAATAATGCTATCATAATAGATTATTTTCTGATTGATTGGAACTTGATGATGGTCAAAATTAATTTTTCATTCAATTGTTTATTGAATAGAAGTTAGATAGTTAATGGTTGATTATACTCATATGATTTTTTCCCCGATAGATTATAATTTACCGATTCTATCTTATGAAGAGTTACAACTTGTCCTTTCTCTCAATGATCAATCTCTCATATTACTGAGGGTTCAGTGATATTTTAATAAAGCTAAACTACTATTTGCAAGATAAAAGTATGATTCTATTAGGGTATTACTTACAGCAGTTTTAACCGATTTAAAATTGATGCGTACACACAAGATAGAATACTAGAAAAGAGAAATAGAGACATTTCAAGAAATTATAAAGGAGGTAAATTTTAACATTTCAATAGAATCAGCCTACAATTAATTGTATTTATTTCGTAAGTAAACCATTCTTGAATTCGCAGCAAAACAAGGACTCTTATCAGCGAATATTCAATTTGCAATAGTCTAAATTCTCTCTTGGGCTTATGCTATTTACCATAAGTAAGATGTAAAAACTAATTATCAAGATTAAGCCTACGCTATCCATAGAATCATCTCCGTAGTCGAATTTCAATCTATTGGAAGTACTACTAGCAAAACAATATCCAAAGTCATGAATAATACTAGCGGTTCCAATGCAACCGCATATCCTGAAACAGCTTCACATCCATTTATAAGTCTTCAATCTCATGTACCATTTATTGCTTATGTGATACTCCTTATTGCCACAGTTGTTGGCAATTGTATGGTGATTGCTGCATTTTTCATCAATCGATCATTGCGCACTATTTTCAATTCACTTTTATTCAATTTGGCATTAGTAGATCTATTTGCGGGTATATTTCGCATCGGATTTATCACTCTATCATTAGGAACAATCCACAACGGTTCTTGGCCATACGGTCCAACATTATGCAATATAAATGGCTTAGTCCATAGCGTTGCTTTCTCAGCTAATGTTCACACATTAATGACGATTGCTATTTTTCGCTACCTGGTGGTAGTTCGCTACAGAAAAGATTGGATCACCCGCAATACTGTTATTGTAGTCATCAGTCTAATTTGGATCTACAGCTTGCTATTAGGATTTCTTCCCATTATTGGCTGGAATCGCTATCACTACCAGCCCTATGAATATACTTGTTTGCCGGATTGGTATCGCGGCAAAAGCTATTCTATCTTTTTAACGATAGCTGATTTTCTGATTCCAATGCTGGTATTATGTTACTGTTATTTGGCGATATATAATTTTATCAAAAAAAATAGCCAACGTATACGAGCCTTTTCTATCAATGGCAACGAAGCTGCACTACAGCAAATTATTCACCGCGAGACAAAAGTAACACAAGCCATGTTTATTATCTTTATAACTTTTGTTGCTTGTGTAGCTCCCTATGCTATTTGTATTTTTGTCATGTTGTCTATTTTTCATATTTGGGTTGGTGCACATGTTGCATTTTTTTGTGGTTACATGGTCAATCTAAATAGTGCTATTAATCCTATTTTATATGCAATATTCTATAAACACTTTAGAGCATCCTTTTATCGTCTATGTTGTATCGCTCATAGGCGTGCTAGCATGATCCGTGGCAATCGAAGAATACTAATATCAAACAAGGTGTATGCTACTACTACCAATGGCAATCAAACTTGCCCGATAATGAGATCGACCATAAGATCCACCATAAGATCGAAAACAACTGAAACACTATTACAAACTGCACATTAAGCTGTCCAAATAATTCCATCAATAATTCATTTTTAGCGATAATTAAACCATCAAATAGCGCTATCAGATTACAAATTGTTTTAGCATTTAAGAAAATTGGCTTAATACGTTATTATTTTAATTGGTACGATTAAATTCACATGTGTGTGATTTTGTTAATTTACTAAAAAGTAATAACTTCTGCTTTACTCGTTATGAATCATGAATAAACTGACCCGTAATTCTACAGTCAAATCTTATAAAAGCTATGTATATTACTCTTTTGGATACAGTCAAACAGATTAGGTTAAAATTTAAAACCATAGATAGTAGAAGAAAATGAAACTGAAACGAAATTTTCATTCTACTTGTATTAATGTCAATTATTGTTAAAGTAGAATTCATTAAATACTACAATGACAACATTCCAGATTGCATTGAATGATTTCTTTTATATAGTTGTATTCAATTCTAGCCTGCTATACCTGCGAACCATGTTAGAGAGGCAATCATGCTGCTTTATCTTAATTTTGTTCGTTAAATCTTACTTTTAGCATAAAATTAAAATTATCAGCCTTAAATAATCACCTTCTTCAATATCTTTACTGATCAAAATATTAGCTAGAACAGTGATAGACTACGTTCCTATTGATTTTCAGGTAAACATTCCTTTAAGATTCTCACTATTTTTGCATCCTGATATCCTTTTCTTAATATCAATATTGTTAACTACAATTCTATCTCAAATCAATATTGAAATATACACGTGATCTCATCAATTAACTTGCGTATCAATTTATTAATTGATTATATTATCATCCTTTATTGTAGATTCAGCTACTAAATATTAATCTAGTTTAGGTATCATAAACGCTCAGCCACGTATATACTTAAAAAATAGAAACGACGATGCCATCTTAGCATATTATCCTACTAACGATCGATATCTGTACAAATGTAAATATAAACACATATTGAAATCTACCTTATAGAAAAGTCAATATGTCGTAGAGATACCACTTTCGATATTTAATTCTCAATAAGATCGTTAAAAAATTTATCATATGTACTTTACACTTGCCTTCGCGATATACTCATACAATAAGACTATTCACTAAATAAAAATTTTTACAAGAAATTGGCCACAACAACGAAAATATTAATGTCCATTTATTATGTATTCGCGCAAAGACTTCTCCCAAACAATTTACTATTATTTATCAATGATAGTGCTAAGCGATCAATTTACTGTAAATAAAAATATCTTAGCCAAGTTGTTGTTTCAATTTAAAGTTATAATTGTTAATTTATCTTACCCTGAAGTTATTCTGTATCATCGATACAAGTAGTGTAGTAATACCATTTTAATGGTAGCTATCTCAACGAAAGGTATCCATATTATTGTAATAAATACTATATACTAATAGTACGAACACAGTAAAACATTGTTCATTGTTAAATCATACTGTATCATTAGAATATTATTATGGTTATTAAATTATTGGTATCGTCATTTCTATCACAAAGTTATACTTAATTGTATTTATGCACAGAGTTCAATCTTTTTTCTTTTTCTCAGAATTAGTAGTTTGTATAATGATGGAATAATGTATGTCAAATAATACAGCCAAGAAACTTTAATTTCTTGTAAAATTTCACTATATTACATAAATTGGTTGGTCTACTTAATTACCGAGTACTATCTGCCTTCAGTCTACAATCGTCTAACCTATTACACAAGGTTTACGATTTATATGCAATATGTATTGTGGATATCATCTACAAACAGAGCTTTTTAATCTGATAATTTAATGTATAATTTAAATTACATTCACTCAATCTTATAATCTTAATAATAGTACAATAAAGTATGTTAAATACTACGGCTAAAAATTTTTTAATTTCTTGTAAAATTTTACTGCATTACATAAATTAGTTGGTCTGCTTGATTTTCAAGGACTATCTACCTTCGACCTACAGCCGTCTGATCTATTATACAAGATTTACGATTTATATATATAATATAAACTGTATTATGAATATAATCTGCAAACAGAACTTGTATAATTTTACACGCAATTTGAACTAAATTTACTCAACCTTATAAACTTAATAATCATGCAATGAAAATATATCAAGTAGCAGCACTACAGCTAAAAATCTTGAATTTTTTTGTAAAATTTCACTATATAACATAAATTAGTTGGTCTACTCAATTACCAAGGACTATCTACCTTCGACCTACTGCTGTCTAACTGATATATTACGATGCGAAGAGACTTATTGGAACCTGAATTACTTAGCTACGATAACCAAGATCGTATGCGATGACAAGTTCAATCTTGAAGCCCATGAAAAGTTTTGATCATTAAGGCTCTTATTTACAAACTTATGAATGTGAAATAAATGTTCTACAATTTCTAGATCGCTGCAGAACTATGGTAATAACTTAATTTTTTTCAAGGATCATTCTTGTGCGAAAATGAGGAATAGCAAATTATGTTACAGAAATGTAAGGATGCTATTTCCGGATGTGATTAGCAGTCTTAAACATTTTCTTTTGTGGATAACTGATAAAATTGACTAGTAGATAATAATGCAATCGTAAATATTTTAGTAGATGAGAAAGTCCATTTATTAACGCAGTTCTAAATAAACAACATTGATCAAGCGGACGAGTGTATGTAAGAAATCCATGCTATTTCATTATTGTATCAGTATTTCATCCTTTCTTCGATACTTTTAAAATGCTTGTAATATTCAATGCCTCTCATAAAACATTTTTGATTATCTAATTGTGAATTGCAAATACCATTTTTGCCATTATCTTCAATTATAATTACTATTCGATTTTATTGATGCGAATTTTGGCTTATGTCATTTTAACACGGTAAAATAGACTTACTTGTTAAAAGCATGGTCTGAATTCTTGTGGTGTAAATCCATTGATTAAGTTAAATGATGGTAATCCTGTTGATATTTATCTACTATGAGCACTTAAAATAGCGATCTGATTATTTCGCAGATGAAGCAGATTTTATTCATCAATTGCTGAATACAGGAAGTCAGAATAACAAGTAAGACCTGTACAAACTGCATTTTGATAATTGTTATGCAATATTAGTTACTTATGCAGCATACTCGTATATCTATTTACTCCTATGGGCATGATTACCGTCGATACATATGCGTACATATCGGCAACTATATATAACCTTAAACTGTGAATCAAATAAATTACCATTCTTACAGTTAAGCGTAAATGAAAATGTTCTATTCTCTTCAATCCTGAAGGTTATTATCAATAGTCAGATTACGGACCATATGGTTAAGGATAAGTCTCAAAATTATTGAATTGATTGCTGTGTATGTATGTTAGTATAGAGATACCACAATTAAAATAATAACACTCATACTTAAAAATTGAAAATTATTGATTTACAATGCAATCATAATGATTAATAATTCATAATTAAATCATTGCTAAGACACACGGTCAACATGTCTGTGCAATAGCATATCTCATCGAAAATAGAAAAAGAGAATTAGAATTACTACCTCAAGTAATGGAATGCCGGATTGCGACAATTTCATTTTCATGTTTTTTCCCCATTTATATCCAAGTTTATTGAACTGTATTTCTTGTCGACTAAAGGCGATTTATTAAGTAATATTGCTTTCCTTTAGTCATTTTTTAATCTAAAGTTTATCTCCTGGAAATTTAGAACAAGACACATCTATATTCTATTTATAGTCGATTTTTAACTGCATTAATTCGCGTACTAGTGTTGGTTAATGTTACAGAAGTCGTTACGAATATAAAATATTCCGATAAACGATTATTCTTAATCAGACACATCATTATAGATAAATTCAGTAGCCACTGGAGATTCATCACTTTTACAACGGAAACTCTTAGTGGAAATTCCGTTTCTCGGTATTAGACTAGGTCCCTTTGAGGGAAATTTGGTCCTTCTTGTCGTCGTAGCTCTTATAATATTCGTTACATTGTTGTTGCTATTACTTGTTAAAGGAATGGCATCGTCTCTCTTCCAACGGAGACTAAAAATGCGGATGTAAGCACGTTTAAAGCGATCATTAATGAACGGATAGACTATAGGATTAATGACACTGTTGAGATTAACCATCCAGCCACAAAAAAATGCCATCGCTCCACCAACCCAAATCTCAAATGCCGAAAGTAACAGAAACATACAAATACTATAAGGTCCAAAGCAAATAACAAATGTAGCAAAGACGATGAACATCGCGCGCGTAACTTTAGCTTCGCGGGCTGCTATTTTTTGTAAAGCATTATTGTTAGCGCCACTAAATGAAATACCACGAATACGCTGACTATTTTTCTTAACAGTCCAATAAATTAATACATAGCAATAGATCATGATGAGAAGGGGTACGGTAAAGATAGCTACCATGACAAAAATAGGAAAGCTTTTATCATAATTCCAATCTGGCAGACATGTCTGTTCTAGTGGCTGAAATTTATATCGATTCCAACCAAAGATGGGCATCAATCCTTCGATTATACTGAATATCCAAGTAACACAGATAGAGAGTGTTACGGTAAATCTAGTCACTAAATGGCCTTTAGAGTGGACAACAACGAGGTA